TGGGACGTGCCTGGCCCAGGGGTGAGAAGCCACTTCCCGGAAATAGCCTTCCTGGCTCCCGCGGCCAGGCTGCTCGGCTCCCTCCGGCGGCGTCAGGGTCCGGGCCGCGGACGACCTCTTTGTGGGCGCCACAAGGGTGCCTGGCGGAGGCTAGACTGTCCGCGAGGTCTGCCTTTCCGGCTGGCAGCCCGCGTTCCCGCTGGAAGACAATTGGTTACCATGGGAACGGAACGCGGCACCCAGCCCGGAGCGCCCGCTCTTGTAGCCATGGCGACGCAAGGCACTTCCGGTCCTAGGGAACCTCGGCTGCTCCAGCCAACCGCAGCTCCCAGCGCTCCTTCTGCTTTCCCGTCTCGCGGGCGTGACGCAGGGGACTTCGGGCTGGTCCCCGCTCTTGACTCTTCTCTGCGGAGTGATCAGCCCCAGGGACCTTACCTCCTGGAGATGAAGACGCGGGAAGAGAGAACAAATCCCGTAGAAGGATGGAAAGGAGCGCCGGCTCCACGACTCTCCCTTTCCAAGGCTGCGGCGTACGTGGGCCGCGCTAAGCAACAACCCCCAGCCAGCGGGCCCCTGTTCTCCACTCCGAGCTTTCTGCACCCCGGCGACTCCCAGAGCGTTCTGGTTCTACAAACGCCCAAGGAGAGGCTTACATAGAATTATTGACCGTGTGGGCACCTTCTGGGTAATCTCCCCCGGGTAAGATTGGAGGCAGGCCTGCTTAGGAAAGAGGAGTGCACGAAATGAATAGTGTAAGAGTTGGATCGAGATCCACTAATAGGTAGCAGCTCTGGGCATATTTTCGAGGAGGACACATTGGGCAACCACCAAGCCTTTAATTGTGCAACCGTATATTATACCGTGATTCCATGGTCCGAAATGCACACACAGGTATACACACAGGTGCAGAGGCAATTGTGGCCATTATCCAAATGAACAGCACCGCGCAAGCCCTCCCCCCCTTTTTTAAAAAGAGGTTTTTGCCTTAGGGCACGTGCGCTCAGCACTCAGAGACAGTGAGAGGGAATGTGAGAAATCATCCCCAGTGGGTATGGCCACGCAGCAGTCCCTTCTCTTCCATTCTCCTCCCAGGATCCTGGGCACGCTGAACCATGTGCTGGGCCCGAGTTTCATGCCACTAGTCAGAGACAGGAACTGAGGTCGGCTGTGTGGGGTCCTGCGACATCACTGCTTCTCTATCTGCTGGCTCCCTACATCCTTCTTTTTAAGAGTGTTACCATGAACCCTATAAGCACAAGGCCTATGATCAGTCAAGTTGGAGCAAATATGTACCTCATTTTCAAAGAAGAGCTGGCTAGGGAGAAGGAAAGTATTTAGTGAGATCTTGAAATCTGCATTTCAAATTTACCTTTGATTTTTGTTCTTTCCAACTCCATCTAGGGTGGAATTTTAATGTGCCATTGAGGTAAGACTGCCCAGAAAGCCTTTCTGGAATTAAGAATAGGTATTATCTAAATGAGTTTGCTTAGATATTTCTCTCTTAAGTTAAACCTGGGGGTCTGTTTACTCATGGTTTCAATCTGTAACTTAGGGCTAGTGGATGAGCATGATGGTTAAGGTTCAGCATTCCTATTTTGACCCTGGGTGATCTGAGGCCAGTCACAGCACCTAGGTTCCAGTTTTCTTGCCTGTACAGACAGTATTTGTACTACTCACTTTCTAAAGCCCTCTCCGGTTCTAGGTTTCCGTGAGGATAAACAATTTTTGTGACACTATAATCAGTATTTAACATTTATAATGCTAAAAAGGAAGAGCCTGTTTCCTGTTCTTTAACACGTATTTCCTTTACCCCTTGTTTAGTGGGTCTTCATTGAACTGAAAAACATTTCCTAAATGTTTGCTTTTACTGATGATTGTAAAGGAAAGTTTACCAGAACAGGCATTGAATTCCATTTTTAAAACTGACACTTTGATTCCACCTCTGTTTAATTAGTTCTGACCTTGAGATCCACCAATAGGTAGCAACTCAGGGAATATTTTCCAGAAGGACAGTTGGGCACCACCAAGCCTTTAATTGTGTAGACGTAAATTATACCATTATTCCATAGTCTGAAATGCACACACAAGCCAGAATTAATTAGTTCTGAGGGCATGTTGCCCTCATCTATAAATTATAAATCAAACTAAAGAACTTTAAAAATTCTTCAAGTTTCAAAGCTATGTGATATATTTCCCTTTCCATCTTTGTTTTAAATAATTATTTGATTTTATGTTTTTTCACCATCATTATAATTTTCTCAATTTGACCACAGAGCAATAGAGAGAGAGAGAGAGAGAGAGAAAGCAGGCCGCCAAGTCCAGGACTTGAACCGTGGTCGGCCATGTGGGAGTCCAGTGCCTCAATCACTATCCCACCTGCCTGCCCTTCCATTCTTAATCCTGTCTCCCAGTTGTAAACTTTAGTTGACTATATGTGCGTTAGGTTTGTTCACTAACTCCAGAGTGGAATGCCACTAATCTGGGTTGATGCTGCTTTTATAGCATATCCACTCACATTCCTTCCTGTGATCCTGAGGTGGAAGAGACAAGCATTGCTATTGCATAAATCATACAGAAGAAGCATGACCAGAGGGTACTTCGACACTTAACAAACCCAAATCAAACGTGCTTGTTGCCAAACTATGCCAGTTCCTGGAACTGTGAGATTTACAGATAAGGAAATCCAAATAAACGTTCCCTTGGAACACATTTCTTAGCCTCTCAAAGCAAGGTTAAATGACTTTTCTTCTGAGTTCCCAGTGTTCTGTCCAAAATCTCACCATGACATTCACCACAATGTATGGGTGTTTTCTATTTACTTGCAAGTTTTTTAGGCTCTTCATGTATCTGACCAGTCACCCTGACCAATATCTATCAATGTCTAGTATGAGACACATAGTAGCTTTTTTTTTTTCCTAAAGAGAGATTTTTGCTATAGGGCATGTATGCTTGCGGGAGAGACAGAGACAGATAGAAAGTGAGAAATCACCGCCCAGAGGGGATGGCCACACCATAGTCCCTTCTCCATTCTCTTCTCTAGATTTTGGGCACGCACATACACGTACCCAGTGTGAGTTTTAAGTCAATGGGTCCAGGACTTGAACCACAGTTGACCACATGGGAGTCTAGCAGTGTAACCATTATGCCATCTGCTGGTCCCATCCTGGGACTCTTATTCTAGTAGGTGGGAAAAACATGGCTGCTAGTAAACAATACAGTCTTTCTACAAGTTAGAAAAAGGCACATGGTTTAGGGAGCAGAAGCAATGTTGTATAAGTTAGGAAAATCTTTTTCCAGCCAGACTCAGGCACTTGTCAAAGAACATGCTTTGACAAGAGGGTAGGTTAGATTTCAGTACTCACTCACGCTCTCCTTTAAATGAGCCATCTTACATGGAGGCGATAAGTGAGAGAAAAATAAAGCCAAGTAAAGAAAGTAATGTAGTCATAGGGGAAAGGATTTACTATCTTATAAATGTACTTTTTTTTTTTTTTTTGGCGAGGTTTTTGCCATAGGGCACGTGCGCTCGCCAGACAGACAGAGAGAGACAGAGAGATAGAAAGCAAGAAATCACCCCCCGGGGGGATGGCCACGCCACAATCCCTTCTCCTCCATTCTCCTCTTGGGATCTTAGGCATGCATGCACACGTGTGTTTAAGCCACTGGGTCTGGGACCCGAACTGCGGTCGACTACGTGGGAGTCCAGCGACATAGCCATTACGCTAACTGCTGGTCCCTTATAAATGTACTTAAGGCAGTCCTCTCCAACAAGATGTCATTAATGCAGAGACCTGGCAGAAATGAGAGAGCAAGTCATGCAAATTATCTAGAACATTCTAAGATGTTAACAGCAAGTGCAAAGGCCCTGAGGCAGGAAAAAGTCAGTGAGGTCAAAAGGATGATGAGGAGACAGAAAATGGCATAAGGTCATGCAGAGCTTTACAGGCAATCTATCCATCTAAATATCTGTCCACCTGTGTAGTGAATACAGAATATGTACTAGGTGACAAGCCCTGATTGATCAGCTATAAGGTAAGTAGGAGCTGTTATGTTCACCACTGAACCTTTACCATTCAGCAGTGCCTGGCATATCATCAATGTGCAATCACATTTAATAAACTGAATTGTCTTTAGGAGCTCACTAGTAGAGAGCTGGCCTCTCACTGTATGTCTCAGTTTCCTACTGTTGTTGTAATAGTCACCACAAATGTAGTGGCTTAAAAGAACCACCGAATTATCATATAATTTTGTAGATCAGATGTCTACAATTAATGTCCCTGGGCTAAAGACAAGATAGCAGCAAGAGTGGTTCCTTTTGGGGATGCTAGGAGAAAATCTATGTTTTGTATTTCTTCATCGTCAAATCCTGCAAGACAATATCTATCAAATTTCTGGTTCCTTCTACTTTAAAGGACTCCTCTTGTTACACCGGGCTACTCAGATAATCCAAGCTAATCTTATTTTAAGATCAGCTGATTAGCAGCCCTAATTCTCTATGCTATGTAATAACATATACATAGGTTTTGAGGATTAGGATATGGACATCTTTGGGGACACTTACTCTGCCTACCAGAAAATGTTTACTCTGACTTAATTGCATGGCTTAAAAAACATCTGAAGGTGACACATAGGGGTCCTTACTCCTCATCTCTTCTGGGTGTTAGAAGCTTACAGCACTTGGCTGTGTCCTGTGCCTTTCTCTCACCTACATGTCTTCTATTTGATAATCTGATACATCCAGGCACACCTCTTGAGTACATCATTTCTTCCCACGTTAGGGCCTGTTTTATAATAAGCGTGCAAGAACAACTCCCTCCTTTTCCATCTCAGAGCCTATCTTCTGGAACCCACATGGACTGTTTCCTCAACCAGATCCTATAGCCTATACAGGGTGACCACCAAAGTTGAGCTCTTGTTCTTTTGATTGTCTCTGAAATACACACTGGGACCAGCAGATGGTAAGGCAGTTACGTCTCTGGACTCCCACATGGCCAACAGTGCTCTGAGTCCCAGACTTGGTGGCTCAAAAATCACACCAGGTGCATGTGCGTGCATGTCCAAGATCCCAGGAAGAAAATGGAGATGGGATGAAGGAGTGATTTCTCACTTTCCCTCTTACTGAGTCTTTTTGCAAGTGCACATGCCCTAAGGCAAAAACTTCTTAAAAAAGTTGTATATATATACACACACACACACACATACACACACTCCCATAATATTTGACAGTTCTCTCCCCTAAGCTGGTGGGCAGTAAGTTACTCTGTGAACACCTTGGTTCCTTGGTCTGTGGTTTTTCCAGCTTGCTCTACCTTGCAGTTTGCCTTTTAACTTTGCTGAAAGGCATCACCCCCATCTTTGCTGGACAGTGTTTCTGCTGCTGTCAGCACCCAGCATTCCGGTTATGCCACGTTGCAAAAGGTTGTGCTTCAGCATGTTCTGGGCTTATTCTCCCTACACAGCATATCATGTGTTTATCTTAAGATGAGTGGGTTTAATTATTAAAGAATTTGCTGTCTGAAAGTTTAGGAAAACAAACCAAAGACTTATTTAACCCATGTGGAGGAAAAGGCCATTCTTTCTCACTTGAGATGATAATACACACAATATTCCATCCCTCTTTTTTTCCTTCTGTGTCATCTGATGGAAGCTAAAGTGAAAATGGGCAATTTGAAAATTACCCCAAGAAGTCTCACATGTATGTGTAAAGACATTTACACATTGAATAGTTGTTACATCATTTCTGTAGCTATAAAATATTAGCAGATTAAATGTTCATAGAGTATAGGACAGTCATATTAAGAAATAGCATTCAGTAGTTAAAAAGAATGCGATGTACATACTTGACACAGAACAATCTCCAAGATATTTAAAGGGAAAAGTAAAGTACATCATTCATGCTTACATATACAAAGAGACATAGGATATCTCAGGTGGCCCAAGAAATTTAGTTGTTGCTTCTGGGGAGGTGAACTAAGAACTGAAAGTAAGGGGCCAGCAGGTGGTGTGATGGTTAAGGATGGACTCCCACATGGTCAACTATAATTTGAGTCCCAGACCTGGCAGCTTGCTTTCTTATTCTCCTTCCCCCTTCTCTCACTCTGTCCATCTCTGGCCAAATTAAAATAAAGTAATTGTTTAAAAAAAAAATAAAAAGAATTGAAAGTAAGAGATTTATTTTCAGTTCCTTTCATCAGTTGTGTTACAACCATTTAATCATTGGGGCATGAGTTTCTTTTCACACCCCAGCTTTGGCTTGAGGCATTTCTTTATAGCTAAAGAGACTGCTTTGGGATTTTTTTCTAACCTTGCTGTCCAGCTGAGTGACTCCATGAAGTCATCCTCCCAGTTGTTTGGTTGGCCCAGCTAAAGAAGATTCTCCTCTCAGGGTGCCTACACTCAATTATTTAAAGTAGTATTAACCTCGTATCATTTACATTATTTTCATTCATTTCTTCTGTCCTTTTTGGGGGGATGGATGAGGAGAGCATCAAAGGTTCAGTTAAATAAAGTGTCACACACATGCTTTGTTTGAAATCAGAAGTTTGTGAATAGGACAAAACTGCAATGAGAGCTGAAGTAGAGGCAGTAGGTCATGTTGTAAGTGAAGGGAAGCAGCTTTGTTATGTTGCCTTATGATAAATTATGATCATTACCTAAATAGCTGTACCTATTTTATTGTAATTTGGTGGTTTTAATTTTGACTTGAACTTGCAAGAATTCACCCAACATAGTTTTTTTTAGGAATGAATTGCCTTTGGAATGGGGTAGAAGAATATATTTGAGCATCTTTTGTTTTATTTTCTAACATGTATTTGATTTACTACTTCAAAAAGAGTAAAGAGGAAAAAAAGTCCAGTGGAAGCTTCCAAACAGTTAAAAAGACTACAGATCAAATGAGAGACAATTTTGAGCTAAAGGTCTGTGATGCAACTGCCCCAAAGTGGTTGATACATGGGGTAGAGCTCAAGCTCTAGAACATTCCAACTCAAAACACATTCTTTAGGACTTAAGAGATGGAAATGATGTGACATGTTGTGTGTGACAGTGTAGAGAACTCCCTCCAGATGAACTGAGGCAATGAGATAAACACTATCACGGGGAAATGTTAGTGAACTGATGATCTTCAGAAGCCACACAGATAAGCTTACAAAGACACAAGGAGTGCAAAATGAAACGAGTTTATTTTCTGCAATAACTTCTGTAAATTACAAAGAAAAAATGCTAAACTACAGCATATAACGTTCAATATTTAACCAGAGTACTTGTAATAAATATGTATCCTGAAACAAGATAAAAGGCTACACTTCATCAGGCATCCTACAAAATGTCTTGAGTTTTATACTCTGCAGCATTTCTTTGTGGGGGCAGGAGGAGCGTTGTTTTGTATTTTCTTAAGTGCTGTGACAAAAAGCCTTTTCACATTTCTTTGGAGCATTTTTGAAATTGCTTTAACTGTAATGAAACAACTTAAGAAAAGTAACACCAAGCTTTAAAGCCATTTTTGCTTTGCTGTTGTCAGTCCTCATCCAATAACAGATAAACATATCATCCATTGCCCTCTGAGCCCAGGCAGCCCTGCAGTAAGTGGGCCCTGTCAGAGCAGGTCTAGACTTTTAGTAATATACTTTGGAGAATTCTTTATTGTTTATCTCCCTCAATATGATCAATGCCTTAAGGAAGCTGCAAACAAGTTAGAAACATTTTTAACCTGAAAGTAAAGTTTACAGAAATATTTTTTCCCAAGACCTTTGCTATGCACCATAATATTACCATATCAAGATTTATAGTTTCAAAGTTGAAAAACTGGTACTAACAGTCCTTCCACAGATAATTTATGGGCACTGGTAGTTAGGACATTCAGAAATAGTCAACGGGTAAAAGGAGGATTAGTATATTCAGAAACGCTCTACACTTCTGAGGACACAATGGCAGAAAGTCCTAGGGGTAGTGGTGGCAGCTGATATTAAGTCTGGAATATATAACTACTTTTTGCTATAGCTGAGAACTTTGAGGAAAAAGTTACATTTTTAAAAAGTCTTAAGCATGGTTACCTAAAAAATAGTTTGTTGTTAATATAATCTAATGTAATTTCATTTATTTAGGGGTTTAGATATGAAAACATTTTTAAGAGCCAATAAAAATATTACAAAGAAAAAAACACTTTAAAAAAATTGAGGTTAAGAACTATGAGGCATTTCTTTTGGCTGTAAACATACAGTTTACTGTCCCTTGTTGAAACACAAATGTTTGGATTTCCTGAGCTTCACGGATAATAGCAGGAGGCAAGTTTGCATAGAAAATCTGCAATGCATTGATTTCCTTAAAACTTTTAAGGACAATTAGCTTTTGTTTTCAAACTCCATATTTTGGTTAATAGTGCTCACTGAACTATAAATTGATAAGAAGAGTGATGAGATATATAAGGCAGATGGGGGAAAGATGGAATCAGAATTTTTAAATCCACAGGATAACATGGTAAAAGGTCTTAAGCAAGCACTTAATAACTAGTGCCATACTAATTTGGTGAGAAATTAAATTATGTACTGGGATTGAAAGCCAAAGGCAGGCAGAACTCTTCTGGGCTGAATGGCACAGCCTGAGGGCAGGAATTGATGTAGCATTCACTGTGTGGAGCCTCAGCGTATCACTCACTGGTGCCCACCTGCCAGCATCAGGACCAGACCCTGGGCATGGCTGATCCCAACTCTGGATTCTGAAGAAGGGATAATGATAATTTTCACCTCTGCTGATCTGAAGTCTCTAAGCAGTTCTCAGGAAGGCAGCCTTCTCCTGAGACCAATCCTCAGAAAACTTTGGAATGGGAAGAAGCTATGCCAGGTCACAGTGCAGTCCACAAATGACAACAATGGCAGTGGTTGCCAACAACTCTGAATCTAACACAAAGATGGACAACAAGAGGGCAGTGTTTTGCCAAAGAGTCCACTTTACTTCTTCTGGGTCTGGTTTTTACACATGGTGAGAATTTGCTTCAGTACTTTCTGGACATCTTCATCCATCTGGCCCTAGGAGATTCAAACAAAAGACATTCGTTAGAACCTAAATTAAGTCATAGTACTTTCTGTCCCAGGGAAAGAAAAGAGATGGCTGGCTGGGAGGAAGCCCTTGACTCATACTCCCACTTTTCAGAGGAATGTCACCCTATCAATTCCCACTTTTTTTTTCTTTTATAAAAAATTTTAATTTAATTCCATTTGTTATTATTATTTTTAATTTGATCAGAGAGAGAGAAAAAAAGGGAAAGTAAGAAAGCAAAGTGCCAGGTCCAGGACTCAAACTGTGATTAACCATGTGGGACTCCAGAGCCTCTAACCACCATGCCCTTATGCTGGCCTCTCAATTCCCACTTTCTATGAGGAAATGTAGGAAAGAGTCCTATCTTTAACCCTCTGGAGGCCCACCATTAGCCCCTAGCACAGGGTATCTGGGATGTCAGTTGCAAATGTGAGCTCAGTTCACCAGAACCACAAGGCTAAGGCAGTGCTGATGACTCTGAGAATATCTGTAAGCCTGGAAAATAAAGACCCATCTGGGTCCTCCTGCTGGATGACAGTAGTCACATCTTTCTTCATTTCTCAAAAAAAGTGATGAGACTATTCCTAGTAAACAAGGCATAGGCTCCTGACACAAAATTTGAAGCAAAGCAAAGGTGTTTTAAAGCTCTCTTTAAGGGGAAAAGAGTTTCCTCTCATATGTGTTCCTTCCACTAGGTTCATGATGGGAGTTTTGGCAACATCTGCTGCCATATTTCTTTAGGATGTCCAGCTACTTTGTGGGCTATTACCATACCTGCACAGCGTAGAGGAGATGCATTCTGTAAACTGATACAACCTCCTGGTGTTGTTTCTTGCATTCCTAGAAAAAGACCATGACGTTATTAATGAACTTAGATTTCTAAAGGAAAAAAAAAAAAAACAATAAACTATGAGAAAGTGTAGTTACATGTTACCCAAGTGATTCCCTCCATCAAATGCTAGCATATCAAGTCTCTGAAATTGCTGTGAGCTCACTGGTTTGTATATTTTTGAATACTTGTCAATATTCTTGACAAAAGCTGCCTATTTCATCTTGAAATGGCAACTCTAGGAGACAACTCATGTAAAAAGTATTCTAACCTCATGTTTGTTTAGATAGATATAGATAGATAGATGCAAAAATCCATATATGTCACTGTAAATACTCCAAGAAAATGTATCAAATGCAAAAAGTATTTCAGAGTTGTTGAATTATGGGCAATTTTATTTATAGAAACTTTTTAGAGCTTTTTGCATTTTTTCAAGTTTTCTACAATGACCAATATTTATTAATTTAATTTTAAAAATATATTCTTTTAAAGGAAATTATTGATCACCCATTATATAGTCAGTAGTATATAGTCTTTGGGGAGCTCAATTATTTATTATCAGTATGCTGGGGAAGCAAATAGGAAGGCCCAATCTCAAGTGGTCTCTTGGAACACCTGTTGATACTTGTGTTTCTCCTTATAGAGCTTTTACTCTAATTCCTTTCAATAACTCTTTCAAGAATCTTAGTTCTAAACTCTACTCATGCTCTCCTCCTGATCACTGTTTATGGCTTATCTTTAAAATCTGCAAAAGTGCATCAGTACCCACTCTCACCTCCTTCCTTTCAATGAGAAAATATAAAGTATCCCTTATATTAAAAGACAAGTGCAAAAAAAAAAAAATTAGGAGCTATTTTTGCTATAGGGCACATGCACACGCCAGAGACACAAAGATAGAAAGCAAGAAATCACCCTCTCCGGGGGGAATGGCCATGCTGCAATCCTTTCTCCTCCATTTTCCTCTCAGGATTTTGGACATGCATGCACACATGCCCAGTGTGAATTTAAGCCACCAGGTCTGGGACTTGAACCATAGTTGACTGTGGGAGTCCAGTGGTATAACCATTAAGTCATCTGCTATTCCCAAAGGACAACTTTAAAAATCTCAATCCTTTGATCCTTTGAAGTTCATGTAGGAAGGTATACTTAGTACCCCTCTTCGTGTTGTTTCCTTCCCACCTTTCAGCTATTCCCACTCAATTGTAGGACTTAATCTGATCACTGTCTTCCTTTCCTTCTCTGCTTCTGTCATCATTTACTTGACTGCAATATCTTAGTGAATGATCCATCTACCCATTTGGACCTCTTAGTTCTTCAGTCTCAGCTATCATGACTTGTTCCTCTTCATTTCAGACCCACCCTCATGGTCATAGTTCTGTCATTATTACCTAAGTAATCTCACCTGCAAGCATCCCATCCTCTGAGCAAACCTACTTTAGGCTTTGTCTGACCCCTGCTGTAATTCTTCAACTTACTCTCTTCTTTAGTAGTCAGCCTACTTTAACAGTCCAGATTTTACCCTACCACTCCACTGGAACAAGGGCCATCCTAAGTGTCACATCTCGGGCCTTGCTTAGTAAAGATTAGTCCTTACTCATCCATTTGAGACTTCAGCACAAGCATCCTATATTTAGGAAGGTTTTTGCGACTCACTCAGATTGAGGCACACTTCCTCCATATGCCCACAGTCTGTGCTGGGCATCTCTTTATCAGTGGATGCTTACCATATTGTCTATAATGCATATAAATACCTTCAGGACAGGGACTCTGTCTTATTCACTTTCATATCACTAGTACCATGTATACTACTAATAAGAGCTCAATAAACCATGTTGAATAGTTAAGAATTACTGTATAAACTGTTAGCACTTTATAAATTTGTAATATTTTATCAGAAGAGTGACCTGCAGAACACACTAAAGAGCATCTTCTCATCCTCTGATTATTCCATGGCTGCTTGAGATACTAACACCAAAGAGCTAATACTATACTTTTGTTGTCAACCAGAGTAAGGACTGTGGAAACCCGAATTCACTATCGTTAAGAAACCACCAGATCCATGTCTTGTTTGTAAATGAAAGCTAAAGGCCATCTAGAGCAGACTAAGCCTCGATTTCATATGGAGAATGTTAACATACCCTTGCCAACTAAATACTAACAGATATTGGGGTAAGCTAAGTGATGGCTCTCCAAAGATGCCCACATCCTAATCCCCAGAACTGATAAATGTCACCTTATATAGAAAATGGATCCTGCACATGTAAATTATGAATTTTGAGATGGAGAGAGATTATCATGGATTATCTAAGTGGACTTTTTTTTCTTTTAAGAATTATTTTATTTAACCTTTTACTTATTTATTTCAATTTGACCAGAGAGGGACAGAGCGAGAGAGAGAGAGAGAGAAAGTGAGAGAGCAAGCTACCAGGTCCGGGACTTGAACCGTGGTCAGCCATGTGGGAGTCCACCACACACCTGCCAGCCCCAAGTGGACTTTTAAATGTAATCACCAGGATCCTTCTAAGAGGATGGCAAGAAAATCATAGGCAGGAATATGATATGGGAAGATAGAAGTAAAGTTGAAGAGACATCTTCTGAAGATGGAGGAAAGGGCCATGAGCCAAGGCATGGAGGCAGTCCCTAGGAGCTGGGAAAGTTCTGGAAATGGATTCTCCCCTAAAGCCTTGAGAAGGAGCTAGTCATGCCATCTCCTTGACTTCACTTCAGTGAAACTGATAAAAGACTTCTGATCTCTAGAACTATAAGAATAAATCTGTGTTGTTTTAAACCAAACCTGTGGGTGATTTGTTTCACAGCCTTAAGAAATCGATACAGATACTAAGGGGCTTTCTTGGAAGAATAGAAAGACCAAGAAGCAGCTTCAAATATGCAGATATTAACCACCAGAGATTCCAGCTGCTAATAAGAAAAATCTCTTGCTACCGTCAGAGATGGGCAGTGACTGGCAGAAAAAGAAGGGCTGAGAAGTTAGTAAATGAGGGAAAAAGCATTCTCCACCATCCAGCTGATGTCCCCCTTCCCAGTTGTGCAGCTAACTCACTGCACTGAAGATGATGACTGAGAATTTCACCATGGTTTTCTCTTTTGCCTTGGCTGAAGAAGTCTTCAGTCAACTGCTCAGTGAGGTACAACATTCCTTTGGGCTGGGAATCTTTTTGTTCACTCCACACCTTGCCCTTGCCCTCTTGCTGAGTTGGTGTGTAATCTGCACCCCTCTCCTCCCATCCCTAGCAGCAGATACAAGCCCACTCACAGCCAGCTGGTTCTGTAGCTGTTTGACCTGCTGCTGCAGTGCTTCCAGCTGCTGACTCTGTCTTTTGGATGAGCTTGTTGCGTAGGAGAGCTGTGAGAGGCTGTTCAGAGCCTCCTTCAACTTGATGACTTCCTTTGACATCTCATTTATCTAATGAGAAAGGAAAACTTTATCAATAGGCAATAACATGTCTGCAGAAGCAAAATTCGATACTTCTTTTTTTTTTTGAAGAGGTTTTTCACTATAGGGCGTGTGTGCTCGCCAGACAGAGAGAGACATAGAGACAGAAATGAGAAATCATCCCCCTGGAGTGATGGCCACGCCGCAATCCCTTCTCCTCCATTCGCCTCTCGGGATCTTGGGCACGCATGCACATGCGCCCGGCGTGAGTTTTAAGCCACCGGGTCCCGGACATGAACCGCGGTCGACTACGTGGGAGTCCAGCGACATAGCCATTACGCTAACTGCTGGTTCTCAAAATTCGATACTTCTAAACCTTGAAAATGGTTATCTCTATTGGCCTGTGAAAGTTCAAACTTTAGAAAAATTCCTTTTAAATTTTCATTTATTTATCTTTGATTTGCTATAGGGCACATGTGCTTGCCAAAAAGGGAAGGTGAGAAATCACACCCTAGGGGGGGTGGCCATGCTGCAATCTCTTCTCCTCCATTCTCCCCTCAGGGTTTTGGGCACACACACATATATTCCTGGCATACTCTTCAAGCTGTTGGGTCCAGGACTTGAACCATGCAGTCAGCCATGTGAGATTTAGCTGCTTTAATAACCATGTCACTGACTGGCCCTCCCATTTTATTTTTTAAAGAAAATCTATACAATGAAACATAAGAATATCAGGTAAAACAATAAAGATTTCTATACCCATACATTCTGATAAAGGCCCCTGAATTGTACATTGTGTTATGATGCATGAGGGTAGCAAAAGCTGTGATACTGATTTCCTCAAAAGGGGGTGCAGTTGAAAAGATAAATCAAAAATAGGATTTCAGGTATTCTTTATTCAGAAACAGCTATGTCTTGTCCAATACTTCTGCCATGGGCAGTCAAGAGTAAGTCCTAGGAATCCTGATATCTCCAGACTTCTTGCTTTAATGTGAACACAATACCCAAACTTACCCTACCCACTCACTAACCCCCAATCCTGGTAGCCTTTTGAACATTCATTATAGAAGAATAAAGATATATAGTCCTCTAACAAATGCCAAAGAGTCACCCCAAACTTCACTTCTCTCCTTCCTCTGTGCCAGCTCCAGCTCCATCTCTACTTGCTCATTCCCCACATTCCTTCCTCCCCCCCATACACCTTTGAAAATGGGGGCCATGGAAAGTTTATTTAATTCTGACTTGAGGGGAAGTTCATAAAGCTTAGGGAAGCAGGATTATGTCTAGGAGTACTTGTGTTTTCAGATGATGACAGTATCTATTCTGGATTCAATAAGAAGAGATGAAGCTCAAAATGGATCACAAATACTTTTCAGTATATAGTTAACTTCTGATCCCTGGCACTGGCAGGGCTTCTGTAAAATGATTTTTAAAGGACAAATATGTACTACATAAGTGAAAAATGCTTTAATGTAGGAGGAAGTGGCAAAAGATCCCTATCATTTTAACATAACTACCCAACATAACTATTCGTAGTATGGTTTTGGGGATAGGCAGTCATAAACAGAACACTCAGCATTTGCAACAAGTTACTGCCAACAGGTACTGTAAGTGTTTAATATGGTAAAGGTTGAAGGGCCTACAACTTATTGCTAGAAGCACAACAGCAATAGAACTTCACCAACCTTTTTGTCTTTATCCTCTTCCAGTTTTGAAGAGCTCTCAGAGTATCTTTTCATTTCTGCAAGTTCTTCCTGAGCTTGTTGGAATTTTTGCAGAAGTTCACTTACTTCTTGCTCTTTAGATTTCAAAAGAGTCTGAATATTTTCCTTTTCCCTTTTCACTTGTGAGGCCTCACTTCTAATCTGGGCAACCTCCAAATGGACCTTCTCTTTTTCTTTTACTGACTCCTTTAATTTCAGTGCCAGTGCATTCACTTCACTCTCTAAGGACAACTGGAGCTTTTCATAGGAGGATCTGGGTACCATGGCATCAGTCATTGCAGCTTTCTCCTCTAGGAGTTGTTTTTCCAGCCTTGCTACTTCCACTTCCTTGCTCGCAAGGTGCTCTTTAAGACTGCTTATTTTTTCTTCCATCTCTTTTACAGTAGTCCGTAGTGTGGTTATCACTTGTAAATGTTCTGTGATTGAGACCGAGTTCTCTTTCTGTTCATCTACCAATTGCTTGAGCTGGGTCACTTCATTCAACACTTTTGAATACTGAGACTTCATTTCAGACAGTGCCTCTTCTGCTTTAGCCCTGGATATATTTGTCATTTGCATGAGTTTTTCATGCTCTGCTTTATGGATGTATTCAGCAGTTACATCCTCTAGAGACTTCCTCTTCCTATAATCCTCTAGCTCAGCCTGGGCTTCTTTGTACAGCTGTGACAGCTCACTCACCTGTTTATTGAGTTCATCTATCATTCTGTTCATGGCCTCCTTCATGTCCCCAGCTTCATCATTGGCTTCCTGTGTCATCTGACTTTTTAGTGTGTCTTTCAATTTCATGATTTCTTCTTGTGCCTCTTGGTATTTCTCATATAAAAATGTTTTCTCCTTATTCATATTCTCAATAACAGAGCAATATGAATTTTTCATTTCCTCATACTCTGCCACAGGTGGCTTACTCTCCACACTTTTCTCCCTCTCTACAAGTTTTTCTTCTAACTCTCTCACTTTCTCTTTATTTCTTTTACTTTCTTCTAATGCATTCTGCAGTTCCTGCTTTAGCACGTCTATTTCTTCCTCAGAGACCCTCAGCTCACGCAGATGTGAGTAATTATCCACGCTCTCGGGTGAGACCAAACCAAGTTTCATCTGCTTTTGCACACTAAGGACCTCTTTCATGGCCTCCTCATACTTGCTCTGAGTCTCTTTAAGTTTTTGGCTGAGATCGGAGCCATTCTCTGAAATCTCTGTGTTGTTTAAGCACACTAGTTCTGTCCTGCGAGACTGGAGTTGGGCCTGTAGCTGTTTCCTCTCTGCTTCAGAGCTCTCCAATCTTTTCTGAAAGTCTTGCAAAATCTCTTGTAATTGCTGAATTTTGACATCACTGTCATTAGTGGCTTTACCCAAGGAATGTGTTAAGACAGATGGAGGAGATTTGGAGTCTGGAGAGGTTTCACTAGGTTTTCCCAGGGATGGGACTAAGTCAGTTTGGGTGGAATGGTAAGAGTCAAAACTTAGGTCTGCTTCTGCCTCCTTGGGTGATTTGGCCTGGGGGGAAAAAAAAGAATTCAATGGTACCAAAAGCGTGGTTAGGAGAGCAAGCAACTGGAATGAGAGAAACAAGTCCAAAACATGGGAAAGCAGCCCAATCATACTGTACATGTGCTTTTGTGCCATGAAACATAGGGCTGGGACATGAGTTTGATTAGTGACACAAAGCTCACTTTGTGGAACTAAGATTATTCGAATCATTTTAAAAATGCCAGAATGGTTTTGTTTGTAAAGCCTCTGATTCAAATTTTTTCTTTGTCTTTTTACATCATTCTAGTTGCTAACGGAGGCAATGAGCATATTAAAGCCACTTCGTATCAAGTTCTTCAATGTGCTAAATATCAACGTTACTAAATAACTGACTTTCTCTTATTCATATTCTCAATAGGGAAGCAATAATTAGCCATGGCTAATTACAGGTAGATTAAAATTTTAAGTATAAAATTTCTGTTTATACATAAAATTTTATATTTTAATTTTATGTGTACACGACATTGTTATATTACACAGTCATGTACCACATAACATTTTGGTCAACAAGACACTAGATCTATGACGGTGGTCCCTTAGGGAACACGTAGACTATACCATATTGCCTAGGTGTGCATTAGGCTATACCATCACCTTTTGTACAAGAAACTCTGATATTTGTACAGCAATGATCTTGCCTAATGACGCATTTCTCAGAACATATCCTTGTCATTAAGCAATGTATGACTTGTATATAACTTACATATTTATGTGTATATTTAAGTTTTATTTATATAGTTTAATATATAAACTTTATTAAAAATATATTTGTCATATTACATATACTACACTATGTAATTATATATAATTTATCACTTAGCAATTTACAGAAATAGTTAATAAATAATATTCTCAAGAAACAAGTAATTCAAAACTATAAAATGTTTAAGTCTATTTATATTCAAAAAGAAATTAATATAGACAACAAAATATATCATACTACTCTGAAAAAAAAAAAAAAAAACACTAGCATGACACTACCAAATAGTCTGTGATAGAATTATTGGATTGTCTGAAAAGTCACGAGGTATTTTTCTGTTGTTCTATGCAAAGATGCATCATGACTTTTCCAATGACCCAGTATGTACCTACTTGTAATTTATCTTGTAGCTCCTTATTGTGTAAGGTGAGGGAAGCAACTTTTGCTTGTAATAGGACAAGAAGATCTTGTTGGTCAGCTTCAGAACTTATATCCAATAAGCTATCAGCACCTTGGAAAAGAAAAAGCAGTCAAAAATATTTTTTTAATTAAACTATTACTTCTCTGACCTCTAACGAACCCATCTTCTAGCACAATCCAGTTGTTCTTCCTAGTCCTGACTATGAAACCCCTCTACCAGTTGGATAGATACAATCATTTTCAGAGTCTTGGGGTTCCTTACTATGTG